ATGTATGTTTAATATCAACTGCGGGCACATCCTACAATCTAGATCACAACAATGACTGTCCATATGGAATGCACAACCCCATCCATCGGTTCTTCTGAACATTGCGGTTACCTGATCCTGTCTAGTTGTACGAACCCGCACTCAACGTCTCCCATAGATTTTTTAAAAGCTAATCGTGTGTTGACTAGGAATCCGACATTGCTGCATCTCCAACGTCTCTCGAATTTAACGACAAACATCGCGAGTATCACTAGCGACAGAACGCTGCGATTCACTCCTACTTTTCTTTTCTGAACCACGAGGGTTCCAATCTCTAGAAGTGATTGAAATGCAGTCATGTTCATCTTGTTAGAGCGAAGAACCGAATGTATTAATCATGACAGTTCCAATCCTTCAGCCTGGTGGGTCATTGCGTGTTCTTCATGTATCTTCAGAACCGATCAGTCTGAGGAAACTCCAACCAGTCACAACGTCGATTAACTGCTCAGAAATCAATTTTCAGTCATCGGGATTGTCAGCGCTTGTTCTCGTTCTACTATTTCTGATTCATGAACCCACCATTGCAAAAGAACAAATTATCAGTTAGTTTTTTTGTCATAGATAGAACGAAAAGTGGCTAGAACAGACAGTTCATTAGCAGGTTATAATAAACCTGAAAGCGCAAGAAAAACACATAGGAATTTGTTCGGAAAGTGAATTATGGGTGGGACCAATCAGCATGTTGGTCAGTCGGTGACCAGTAGCCTGGGCACACTATGTGAGTAACATCGACGTGCATGGAGCCGTAAAAGCGTGAACAGGGCTAATCAAAATGGGGGGGGGACAACAGCCTCAGAGTCTACATCTTCTCCCGAACTTCCATCCCATTCGACCCGGCAAATCCAGCTCCAACTACCTGCTTTTCTGCCAGAGTTGAGCGTCAATATCTTCCATGGTCAAACCCACTCTTGGGTTGGATGATATCCTCCTATTTTATTCCATATCTGTTGTCCAGTATACTTGCTTCTCTTACTTCCCCCCTCTAGTGTAGTTATGCTTAGTTGCGAAAATTCCCATTTACTCCCTGTTGCCCAGCGCGGGGTGTGAACCCTAATTTGGAAGCGAAACTGACTATTCTTTAATTCCCCCAAGGCTCCCAGTGATGTTTGATACTGTCTCTGTCTCTGTTGCCGTCCACCTGATTTTCACAATTGTTCGGCTTAAAGTTTCCCGCCTTCAAAAGAAAATATTTTTTGATGTGTATATAGATAACGCAAATCCGAGGACATCCAAAATGTATGTTTAATATCAACTGCGGGCACATCCTACAATCTAGATCACAACAATGACTGTCCATATGGAATGCACAACCCCATCCATCGGTTCTTCTGAACATTGCGGTTACCTGATCCTGTCTAGTTGTACGAACCCGCACTCAACGTCTCCCATAGATTTTTTAAAAGCTAATCGTGTGTTGACTAGGAATCCGACATTGCTGCATCTCCAACGTCTCTCGAATTTAACGACAAACATCGCGAGTATCACTAGCGACAGAACGCTGCGATTCACTCCTACTTTTCTTTTCTGAACCACGAGGGTTCCAATCTCTAGAAGTGATTGAAATGCAGTCATGTTCATCTTGTTAGAGCGAAGAACCGAATGTATTAATCATGACAGTTCCAATCCTTCAGCCTGGTGGGTCATTGCGTGTTCTTCATGTATCTTCAGAACCGATCAGTCTGAGGAAACTCCAACCAGTCACAACGTCGATTAACTGCTCAGAAATCAATTTTCAGTCATCGGGATTGTCAGCGCTTGTTCTCGTTCTACTATTTCTGATTCATGAACCCACCATTGCAAAAGAACAAATTATCAGTTAGTTTTTTTGTCATAGATAGAACGAAAAGTGGCTAGAACAGACAGTTCATTAGCAGGTTATAATAAACCTGAAAGCGCAAGAAAAACACATAGGAATTTGTTCGGAAAGTGAATTATGGGTGGGACCAATCAGCATGTTGGTCAGTCGGTGACCAGTAGCCTGGGCACACTATGTGAGTAACATCGACGTGCATGGAGCCGTAAAAGCGTGAACAGGGCTAGTCAAAATTGGGGCACAACAGCCTCAGAGTCTACATCTTCCCCCGAACTTCCATCCCATCCGACCCGGCAAATCCAGCTCCAACTACCTGCTTTTCTGCCAGAGTTGAGCGTCAATATCTTCCATGGTCAAACCCACTCTTGGGTTGGATGATATCCTCCTATTTTATTCCATATCTGTTGTCCAGTATACTTGCTTCTCTTACTTCCCCCCTCTAGTGTAGTTATGCTTAGTTGCGAAAATTCCCATTTACTCCCTGTTGCCCAGCGCGGGGTGTGAACCCTAATTTGGAAGCGAAACTGACTATTCTTTAATTCCCCCAAGGCTCCCAGTGATGTTTGATACTGTCGTGCACGGACTGCATCCTGGCGGACCGTTTGGTTTCATACGTCTTGACAGCAACTTAGTTCAGAGCCGAAAGCTCAGCGTTCCCCAACGTTCGTTGGTTTCCAACCCACCGCTTTTCTTGTGTCTTATGATGTCCTTACCTCCGTTTCTGATGCTTCTAACGCATTGCCAGACATTGCCTAAATTTCCCGCACGTTCTTCCCGTTCTTAACGTGTGCAGGCCATTATTATACTGAATTCAGCTACATCCTATTCTGCGGACCAACGCAACCCGACCTTTCTCTATTGTTCCTCCATCAATGTCCTTTCATTTACTGAAACTAATCCTTACTCAGAATTATCTGTTTGCTTACTTATTGGTATGGCTTTTTCAAGCGATATCAATTGATCCCCGCTTTTCAAATTATCGCAAAGCAATTTGTTTTTCATCCCCGTTTCTATTGTCTTGCCACCTTCATAAGGCTGAATGATGGCTTGCAGTTTGCAATTTCACTCGCCGATTTCGTTCACGAGCATGCACATCGGCCCAAAGAGCTTGCACGCAACGTGGAACTCTGCTCCATGCAAGCCTCTCTGTTTGTACTGTGATGTGGAACATTCAGTGATTCAAGAACTGTTGCTCAGTAAAACCCAACCTCTTCCGCATAAATCATAGTACCGCCCCACTGTGGAATACTGCCATCATATCATCCTACTTATCTTTCGCTCCTATTCAGTGAAGCATTGTGAGCGTCAGTTCTCCTCTCATTTTCAATGAAACTCAGTAAACCTACCATGATCATGACATATGTTTCCCATAGGTATTCAGTTGCTTGTCCCGGTAAATACTCAGCTCAGCTGACATCTTCCGTGGCATTCCTACAATCGTTCGGGCACCCGACCCAACTATATTCATCGAGCCATGCCTATCAAGTTTTAGCCCTTTTTTTCTGAACGCAGCCACTTTGTTGGCTTTTCTCAAGACTCACCTGTTTTGTACCTTCGGTTTTTCCAAGTCTTTGAAGTTTGCAAGAATTGGTTTAGCTTCTCTATGGCGTTTCTTTGTCATAAACTATTCAGGATCGAGGTGGGTTTACGTTTTTGTTTTGAACGCAGCCACTTTGTTGGCTTTTCTCAAGACTCACCTGTTTTGTACCTTCGGTTTTTCCAAGTCTTTGAAGTTTGCAAGAATTGGTTTAGCTTCTCTATGGCGTTTCTTTGTCATAAACTATTCAGGATCGAGGTGGGTTTACTGTTTTTGTTTAGCGTCTCATGTTTTTTTTATCAGTTTGACATTCGCCATTCCCACAAAGGGTCTCAGAGATCTCTCCGGAGGATCCCCGACCGTAATTGGGAACGAAGCATCTGTACCAACTGGAACTATTACACTTCGATACACGGCTTGTGAACTGAAAGTGATGTGGTTGGTTTAAGACGATGTCTGATATTGCCTTGTAGTTGTTCTAAACACCCATGATCAAATGCCCCTTGTGCCTTATTAAGATAGGCCCTCGTGTGTTGGTTTATTGCGGTCGCGTTTATATGAATAACCTGTTTTCTATACATTCAAATAACGGATTCGTTTTGGCCAAACTGTGACAGAGTGAAGCACACTGCTTTGTAGCACTCTGGTGAAAAACGTACACCGGATGACATCGTTTAGAAGGAAATCGACACAAAGAATTCGGGTCCCAGCAGTGTTATCCATTACTGTACGTTTGTCTCGAATTCAGTCTTGCTGCTTAAGTAGGTAAGTATAGCAGTAAGTTTCGTACGGTAGATTTATTTATTTAATCCACGAGACCTGATAATTGGGCTTCTTTTGGATGTGAGTGTTTCGTCGAGTTCCTTAACACAGAGGGTAGTATCACTGCCAAAACTGTGTTCCATACAAATTCCGCTTGTACTGTCTAGTTTTCGAGTGTACTTTTGCATCGTATAAAAACGGGAATCTACATATTGCACGTAGAACGTAAGTACCAAGATGTTTCCGATGCGTTTGGTTAGAAAAATCGCCCTAAACTTTTTTCTGGTGACATTAATAGGCCTGATAACTTTCAGCAATCATCGCTTCTACAAACGTCTCTGGAAGACCAGAGGCCCAAATCGATTTTAGATATGTTGACAACTCTATTGGGTTTGCGACGGACACATCAGTTCTCCTTTATTATTCTAATCACTGTGGTTCAACCCTCGCGCAGAAGAATATTCAAAAAAGATAAGATTTCGTTTGCAAGGAAAGACCAAATTCATGCGAAGGAGGAGATCCTTCGGTTCATTATGAACATGTAATCCTCTGCATCAAGCTTTGATGTGATGGACGTTGGTCACTTGAAACGATCTACATTCGTGTAGCCAGATCCAGCGGTTCGGTCCGTATAGTGCTATTCGGAGTCAGAAGTAACATAGGAATATCAAGTACCGAGATCATTTTTCTCGCAATTCTGTCCGACGAATGGAAAGGAATCCGGCTTCCATGTACATTAGAGAATGTAGATTATAAACTAGATCACCCATCACAAGCTTATTTGCACGTTTGTCCAAGTACAGGAGCGAAGATTGGACAATAAAACATGTTGAAAGCACGCATTTAGGCAAGGCAACTGATGACAATTCGGTAAGCGTATGAGCTTGGATTTTACAGTTGTCTGCAAAGAGTGACTGGTTCTTGGAGGACTTAACCATCCAAATCTAGGTATACAAAGAGCGAAGACTTTGCACTTCACTGCGGAATGTTTTGTAACGCAGCTAGTTTAAAATCTGACATGCCTGCCGGACAAATCGGTTTTCGACAGAAATAAGTGAAGTGGCGACGGGAATGAATCTGTCTGCGATGTGCACAAAGTGGAATTAAAATGCAACTCAGGCAGAGGGAGAAAGCCTATGCCCGATCGGTGGAAGAAACTGGCGCTAATGGAGTTAAACACTGTGATAAACGAAACTAGAGAATTTCAAAAGTCAGTCAGAACCACACAGAATATTCCGTTACATATGCTTTGGCTCAAATGCAATCGATGAAGAATGAGATCACAAGAAAAACGAATAAAAAACTTGAACGAAACATAACTGAAAATAGACAATAGCGGTGCGAAGTGTGCAGTGGCTTTGTGTGTGTGTGTGTGTGTGCGGAAATGCAGGCAATCGGTGGTTGTGGGGATGAAATAAACAGAGGACAGGGGATCACAGCGATTGGAATGCAACACATGTACAAGGAGCGTATGCAATCCTGTTCCATGCCGTCCTGGCTATTCACAGGCCAATTTACTGTCAAATGAGGATAAGGCAATGCCGAAAGCTTGTAGTGCACACATCGGATAGGAGTAGTCCATGGTGAATTCATCTTCAGCCACGCGTCCAAATTGCATGATTATATAGTTCACTGTTGGACGAGAATAAAATAGACGGAATGCATGAATCAACTCTTCACCATAATTCAATTTCCACACAAACAAAGATGTAATACTACTGATTTCGTCTGGTATTTGCCCATTGTTGACATTGAAAGATCGGATAAGATTATGAATTTCCGGCGCCCTCGTTTCAATTTATCAACTGTACAAAAATCCTGATCGCATTGAACTGGCAAGATGATAAAAAATAAGAAAGCCCAATTAAATCCTATCGTAGAACTACACATTTCTGTTTTCAGTCAGGAGGCAGGTTTTGAAAACGCTTCATTATACTTTGTGTTGAATAGTGTAACTCTAGTTAGTTATTAGACTTTCCACTGCACATTATTGTCAAAACAAAATACAAAATTATATATATATATATATAAGTATACGTAATCCAAATAATATTTTAGACAGCTCAAGCCTTACCACGTAGGAGTCGCGTAAAAGGCATGTTCGCATGAGCTAGCATAGGCCCCACTCCAACCGACAAATGAACGATCGAAAAATTGATTATGAAGTATGCTGCTGAGATATGATGGTCTTGCAGACCAGACACATACAGACATATTATTGGAATGTGCTCGTTGCACCGAATTTTTGGCGTAAACCCACACGGAACTTTTGAGCAGTCCATGGAAAGCTTTATTTGTGAGATTAGTCGTTGTGTGAATTAGGCAGGTAATGTTACAGGTAAATATCTCCCATTTCATTTTCAGTTATGTTATGCATTAGAAAAGTGATTTTGTGCGCAGCCCGAAACAAGTCGATCGGTTCGTTCACTAGACAGCTGTATTTTGGAGCACATCTTCAGGTCTATCAACTTTGAATTTGCTGTTAATGTAGAACTTCATTTTTTCTAGTTCCAGAGTGATCGGTTGCTTGAGTTTCTGTAGCGAACGAATGATTCAAGTCGGATTACTACGATCAGGTAAAGTTGTGCAACGAGTGCATAGCATACCTCATCAACTTTACCCCCGACCGGGATGCCAACACCTGGTACTATGGTGGTCCAACGCAGCCGGCCAAAAGGACTGGAAATGTGGTGTTCACTGAAAGTTCCATATGCGTAATCAGCTACACACCACTGGATGGCAGATCACTCGGCGGAGTGCACAGCTCTGAAACCAGCTGGGTCACCAAGCTGAGCGCGCAAGTCTTAGACCTAAGAGACCTTGCTAGAGGCTGAGCCAAACGACATCACGAGGTTGGGTAAATCGAGCAGCTCCGCAAGGGGCACAACAACCAATGTTGCGTACGTGTTGACTAGATAGATGTTACGGCAACAGCACGGCAGCAGCCCAACGTGTTTCTGCTACTTCTCTTGCAGGCTTCTGTCTAGGCGTGTCGTTTGCATCCCGAAAAAGTGGCCAAATGTACGCATGTGGATGGCCATTTTGAAGTTGATTCTACTTAGTCGCCATAGGAAACCTCACATGTTTTTTCCTGTATGTCAACTAAACACCGGTTTCTGATGTACTTAGGAGTCTACAGTTAGGAGGTCAACGAGTTTCGGACTGTTACCAGTGGAAATCAAGAGCATGGTTGAAGCTCGGAAGTAAGAATAACATTGGAATCCTTGTGTCAACCAGTATTAGCATACAACGAACTGGGGTTGGTCACCGAAGGACTGGAGATTACGAGAAGTTGGGGGATTTGCCAGCTAACATAAGCACACCAGCACCGCAACCTTACGTAAAGGGAGTGTTCACGGGAGGCCCTGGCTATGCGCATTCCTTTCATTCGGTGGAATCCCATAGCTAACTCACATACAGTTATGAGTTACGAATCCGTCTAACTAGCATGCCACTGGTTAAGCCAACAGACTGAGAGGAGGACCATCATCCACCCAAACTCTGAGTGATTCACAACGTGGATTTAACAATCAATCATGTTTAGGTGTCAGATTGACGCCGGTTCTCAAGGCTGCGATCATAGAGAATCGAAATCTCTAATCAATTGGAAAACGTTTTGTTGTGTTGCGCGGTGACCGTCTATGGGTCAAGCCTGCGCTGAGCCTGCCAGACTACGCGATAGGGAGAAGACAGAGAACCAGGGACACGGCTGTATTGCCAGGACAAAACATACAGAGCGTCCGTGTAAATACATAGGACGACTAATCGGCCAAATATGGTCGTTCACTTGTTCGTTCGGTACAGCCAATGGTGGTGTTCCGGTCGCGAACATTCTCAGGCCCACTACGCTGGCCGTGTGTTGCTAAGCCGTGTTTGGTGGGAGCCGCCGACTCACCTACTTTCCGGACGTGTCGAACCGATGGTGACCTTGGGGGTGCGTCACTCTCTGCACATGTGCTTTTTCTTCTGTCTGGGCGCGCCCTGACACGTTTGGAGTCGACTGAGAGGGGATTTGTCTAAGATTTATGGTTGGGCAACGTTTGGCTCTTAATACAAACGCTTCGTCAGGTCATGATAAGGTTACTGGGTTAGCCTAGTTTCACGGTAGATGAAGAACCAGCCCGGAAGAACTTTTTCGACTAACACACCAAACCAACGTTCATCATCATCATCATCATCGACAGCATGACATCAGTGTTCAACACCGATGCTTCACTGCCGTTGAATGTCGATCACAAGGAACTGTCGGTTGGAACGGGTGCTTAAATCGAAGAGTGGTATCGAATTATTTTGATCGGGCCTGAATCCATGATTATTCGGTCTTGGGCACTTCAACCGATGTTTCTCTTTGGGCGCCAATTTCAAGTTTTGTTAGTAGGCATAGGTTGTTAAATGCCAAAACATGATGAGATTACATGGATTTTTGGTCGGCTTGGGCTATGTACTTCGGATCTAAGCTAATTCTGTTGCTAAATTCTATTTGCTAATAACTGTACGGCGCCACGTGTCAGTTTGAATGACCCAGAACCAATGTCTACAAGCTCACCAGTTCCATTCCCTCTAATATGTTCCTATTTTATTTTGTTTTATTTTATTTTATTCTATTGTATTCTATTCTATTCCGTTCACACTGGCATGTTTGGCGATTTTCACATTTTCGACCATGAGTAGTTATGCTTTGAATCGTAGTCACCGCCTGAAAAGCCATTTGTAAGACATGGCTAAGAGTTGTTGGGTCTACGAATAGCTGTTAACATTATTCGGCGTTTCTTGGAGGAATGCTTATTCTGGTCTTGTGCTCACTGATGCTGGTGTAAAGTTCTCTAGCCGTCTGTCCCTGGCTCTAGCCACCGGGAAGCAATCCTTTGAATGCATCACTGAATAGCACATTCCTTTCCTCCTCGATACCCACTGCCTCGAAGGTTTTTTGCTTCGAATTCTGTATATGCAGTCCTTATTCAAATAAGCACTGATGAGGCAATACTAGTAAATACTGCCAATGGGTAGTTCAAAACTGCACCAGTATCAACTGGTTTCTGATATGCGATGGTTTTTAGACTCACTTCAGTCATGCGTCACATAAGAATGATAGTATGCATTAAGTCGACTTCTGTGAGTTTCATCAAGAAGTCTGCTTTGTAAATCCGCGATCGCTGACCTGTGATTGGATTGTACTTTCGAGGTACCATCAAAATCATTCACCCTATCCAGAATAGTCTATTGCGGAATTTCTGCAGCCTGCGCGTACAACCAACGTAACAAGCGTCATCGAATGGCATGGTTTTTATTGCTTTGTGCTTCACTGTAGCAACGTAGTGTAGTAACGAAACTCCAATTGTACATGGTTTCTTGCGTTACAGTGGCTGGTAGCTTCTCAGTCGACTACTAAATTGAGCACCTTGGGTCCATCCGTTTGATAGCTGATGGGGAGTATGTTATTTGCGCTTTACTTGTGGTCACCGATGATAACAAACCATTATGAATCGTTTGACAAGAGAGAACTGATTGGTGTATCTGAACATAACCACGTGTTTAATAGTACTGATCATGCTGGTTGGTCTGACAAGGTTACATGCCTACAAATTACACAGGACTACGTCAGAACTTACGGCTAAATGCAGAAGGCATAACGTTTAGGATATATGAACGGATTACATTGATAAAGCTGAATCAATCAACGTACGAAGTCAACCAGAAATCATTCTACAATGTTTCGCAAATCCGGTTCAACCAAATTCAGGATGCTGAAGGGATTACACCGTACAGTGGTTACGCACAATGACCCAGCAAATCGCCAGATCATCTGCAACAAGCGCTATCCGACACTAGTTCTTTTGGAGGAGCAAGTGGGACTCTATAGTACTTGTTCACACCTACATAGCAAACTAGCCTTTGAAACGTCATTTCCGAAGTACTCCCGTGACACATGCGAACAGCAACCTGTCCTCTAAAAAGTTCCCGCTTTCCTCGGCCATGTAAAATTCCTGATATGAATCGCTTCACTCTGGTTGGATTTTTCGAATCAAACCGAAAAAAATAATAGCCAGACCAAAATGTCCTACACAGTTCATTTGGCAGGCCATCAAGTTGTGGCCAAAAATCAAGCAATCCGGAAGTAGAGTGTATTGCCAGCAATTCACCCATAGAATAAAGTGTTGTATAGAGAAACCAAAATAGCTCTCACTATCAGCAGTAACAAACAACCATTTCCGATCGACGAGGTCTAATTACGACGGTATTAGATTCATGCAGATGAACCAGATGTATGAATTTGAGATGAAATTCCCCGAGTGTGCCCCTAAGGCCGACGAATTACAGGACATGCATTTTGAAGGTGTGGTGTGAAGGATGAGGTCAGAAGTAAAGCTGGACAGGATAGAAAGTGTCAACACTTTAAACAAATCGACGCACACGGACAGGTCCAACCTTATTCCACCTTATTTCCAAACAAGTGAAACCTCCACCGAACAAAACAAATATGAAAGTGTCAATTCCTGACAGACAAAACGTAAAAAATCCTGCAAAGATTAGAAGACCACTTAAAAAACAACCGGTCAACTTTTGTCAACACGATAAATGAATGAACTAAATAGGGTTAAAAGAGGCGCAATCCAAATTGCTAAATTTATCAA